ATGCAATTCATGTGTTTGCTGCATCAGAGTTGAAAATTAGGTTGGATCACAATTTGGGATCAACTGGTTGTTGGCAATGGAGAACTCGAATAAAGCCACTTAGCCAAATTAAAAAATAAGGAGTGAAAAGACAGACTGATGTATCAGAAAATAATTGTGTGTTTTTGTTTTAATTTTTCAAACTATCCAATTATACTTCTGACACGTGTCCCATTTGGATTCAAGCCTTGATGTGTAGCATGATTGTGGAGAACTTTTTGAGATCTTTTCATGGTTTTCTGTGAATGAAAGACGTAAGTTTTCTCGTTCGTAATTCAAATTAGCAAATGAACTGCTGGTGGATGGATTTCTGATCCAATATGTATTTTGAAACTATTGGCTTACTTTTTTTTTTGACTGGTTACTATATTATTCGGAAGAATTGAACATTATCAAGCAAGCAAATGCCTCGAGTAAAATCTCTTTGCTATCCATTTAAATTAACTCCAACACCTTCGAACATGTACATGTACGTTACTTGACATTTTTTTTTGAAAACTTATGACACTGTCGTGATATTTCGCCCCTGTTTGACACTCATCTCTAACCCTTTTTTTTTTTTTTGGGTGAAGAATGAGTTTTTGAATAATAATTTTTTGGCGAAGGTGCAATTAAAAAGTAATAAAAAGTTTTGATTTTAGGTCAATAATATTTTATTATAAAAATGCGGTTTAAAATGAGTATAAGAAAAAAAGAATTTTGAAAAAAAAAAAAAATTGTCGAAAGGATTTTTTGTACTTTTCATTTCCAATATTTTTCGACAATGTTGTTATTTTGGGTTAAGCCACTTGACCCACACCGATGACCGCGAGGATAACCGCACCCTCACATGGGGTGCGTGGATCGGGGGTGAATAAAAGATATCGACCCCCATGTGTATGTTGTATCAACTCTCAGGTCTATCCTCAATCTATTTTTTCGTACCAAACACTCCAGCCTTTTACTTAATTATAAATCGTGTCACCACTGACAGAATTCGTCCAGTTTAACCGTTAAGGTTACTTAAAAAGTTTACTTATTCAAATTAAAAAAAAAAAGAAAAAAGAAAAACCAGAACAACAAAAAATGAAAAAAATAAAAAATAAAAAAATTCACACAAACCCCAAGAATAGGACAATAACAAAAAAAGTCACCCATCCCAAACCCATTCATCTTCTGATCCACAGAAATTATTGGCTTACTGTTTTGTTGACTAGCTAAATTGTTCTAACCAATCGAACGTGGTATCAGAGTAAGCAAAAGTCTTGAATTTAAATCTCTCTGCTACCCCATTTAAATTCACTTCAACACTTTTGAACACTTATATACACGTCACTTGAAAATTTTCAAATATTATACTTAAAACTTGTGAAACTCTAACGATACTTCCTAGACATGCCTTGTGCACTTGAACGTGCATGGCACGTTTGGTGCACGTGCTTGACACGCATTGCGTACGTTATAATTTTAAGTATTTATTAGATTGTGTTTGATTGTTATGGAAAATATCACCTAGAAAAGAAAATATTTTCCATCTTTTGTGGAAAATAAAAACCACCTCTATTTAAGGAAAATATTTTCCTTAAAAATAAGAAAAATTAGGCATATTTTCAAAAGTTGGAAAATGTTTTCCATGGAAAAAAATAGCAATCAAACACTTCAAATAAGAATTTGGATGAAAAATTGATATTTTCCATGAAAAATAAATGTAATCAAACACACCCTTATAGTCTACACTTTTAACCTTTTCAAAAATATTACTAATTTACCCTAAAGTCCTAAACCCCTTTTTAGTGCCAGACAAATCATGTCACCACTGACAAAATTTGTCCAGTTAAGGTGACGTAAAAAGATAATTTCATCTTATTTAAATAAATAAAAAGGAAAAACCAGAATAACAAAAAATAAAAATTCACACACACTCCAAGAATAGGAAATAACAAAATGATCCACCTAATCCCCAAACCCATTCATCTTCTCCCCTCCACTAACTGCATTTTCCTCCACAATTTTGGCCATTTCAGAATTTTCAATCCTGTTCGACTCCACCATATCAGCCGTTGTAAAATTCTCAACATCACTGGCCACTTTGGAACTTATCACAATCCAACCTTCACAACACTGGCCCAAACATGGCCATTTTTTATTTTTTCCAACTTCAAATCCACTGGCTTAGCAGTGGGGCCACACCCAGATGGAAAATCCCGAACTGCAGATATTTTCCTGGGCTTGTACCACTTCAAATCCACTGGGGCCACACCCAAATGGGAAATCCCCAACTGCAGAGACTTTCCAGGGCTTGTACTCTGCCACGAAACCAATTTCCAACGACCGGTTTTTTGGGTTATCACAGGATGATTCTCGTCCGACACGACAAGCAAAATCCCATCAAGCCAATAGTAAAGAAAAATTATTGACAGTGACAGAAAAATGTAAAATTAAGCTAGAAAATGAAAATTATTATTCTTCGATTGGACTGGACTGAAGTGTCAAATGACAGCATGTATGCTACACATCTCTTGCACGTGTGACATGCCTTGTGCACGCCATAATTTTGACCAGTATTCTAAATAGCATGCCAATACGCGCATTGGCACGAGACGAGGTTAAGGTGCCAATGAGCGCCTAGGGATTGACAATTTGAACCGTCAAAATCGAAAACTGCGGTTAACTGAATCGAATGGGGCGAAAAAAATCGAATCGAAGGTGCAACGAGGCGAATATGATTTTTATTTTTATGAATTGGTTCGTAGCGGTGAGGGTATGGTATTTAGGCCGTCGAACTGAAATCGAACCGATTACTAATTTTGACCAGTATTCTAAATAGCATGCCAATACGCGCATTGGCACGAGACGAGGTTAAGGTGCCAATGAGCGCCTAGGGATGACAATTTGAACCGTCAAAATCGAAAACTGCGGTTAACTGAATCGAATGGGGCGAAAAAAATCGAATCGATGGTGCAACGAGGCGAATATGATTTTTATTTTTATGAACTGGTTCGTAGCGGTGAGGGTATGGTATTTAGGCCGTCGAACTGAAATCGAACCGATTACCCGTTAATAAGAAAAAAAAAAAATCGATTGAATTGATTTTTTGAGCTTTACACTACTTTTCTATCTAGCCCAAAACAAAATCCCCCCATTACATCTACATCACTCGGCCGGTCAATCCACTTACCATTAGTCTATAATAATAGCATTAGTATGACAGTATATAAATGCAAACCATACTTTCCACAGACCACAAACTCACGCATGGCTCCATTTATTGTTAATTTTTTTCTATTGTGTGTAGAAAATTCTACTTCTTCATCATACTCTAGAGCTTATACAACATTTAACGAGAAAACAGCTGACGAAGAGGTACATTTTTTTAATTTAAATCTTAGTTAAGACCATTCTGGAATAGGTAGTATCGTTGTATTCTCTACTTACATTTTTTATTTACTATATATGAATCAACTTTAAATGTTGATCTATGCTAGTAAGACTTGTGGGGAAGAATGAATCAAATAATTTCGATGCACAACAATTAAGAATGAAGAAAAAATTTAGTATTGTTATATTTATAAGATTGTTTGTTAAATTTGTATTTTACAATTGAAAATTTGGATAATGTTTGTATTTTCATTTGGAATATTGTGTTTTTGTTTTCATTGAATTTTTTCATAAATTGTTTTATATTAATTTGACGGATAAACCTATAAAAAATAATTTATTTTTGTGGTTATTAATCGAACCGAACAGTGCCGAACCGAGATACGAACCAAACCAATTTACGTGGTTATGGTGCGGTTATGATATGGTAAAAAAATTGGTGGTGCGATTATGATTTTGACCGAATCGACCCATAACCGAACCATTGCCAACCCTATGAGCGCCTAGGCATGCATTGTAAGTTTTTTTTTAGGCTAAAACCTATAATTATTAAATAATTTTTTTATTGATTAAAAATTTCAAATAATATTAAAATAAGAAAACACTTTTTAACGCTTTTGTCTCGTTTAATTATGCATTGTTCTTAGCTTGACATCAACGTATTACCACGCATTACGCCTTTTAGAACACTGATTTTGACATGAGATACCCCTCCTTGACACATTAAGAGTATCAACTTTTTTTGGGGGTGGGGGGAAGGAACTGTTTAGTCATAAAAATATTTTTGTGCAGATTCAAAATAATGTGAGGAAAATCTATGAACTTCATTCACGTCAAATTTGTTATGTATCTATCATAAGCATCTTTTATCTTTCTGATTAACATGTAATTTGATTTATTGCACAAAAAAACTTCTTGGAATTGTTCTAGAGAAAGCAAAACAAATCGGTTTTGTACATAACCCTGAATAGACACGAGAGTGGAAAGTTTTATCTTGACACTAGAGCTGCCGATGAGGTTGGTGAAGGTATATTTCTCAATCCAAAATAAAAATTATTTAACTCAATGGCTGGCTTGGATTCTGATACAATATCTATTTTGAAACTACAGGCGGCCCGACTGTGTGTATGACAGGTAACCAAATTGCTGTAAAAAGTTGGACAATGTATCAGAGCATACAAATGTCTTGAGTTTCATTGTCATCATTTAAATTAAACTCGATCGAGTTCTTACATGCTACTTGAAATATTTTTTTTAATATAATTTTTTAAATGGTATGACATTCACATGGTACTTCCAAGACATGCCTCGTGCACCTGCACATGCATAGCACGTCTGGTGCACATGCTTGAATGCCTTGTGTACATTGTAATTTTACTATTAGAGGTGAAAATTGATTTTTTTTTTTTTCCTTTTTAGACTGTGTGATTAATAAGTAGGTAAAAGTTATAGGTCCACAAGCAAAATTATTTTATTTAGTGAACATATGGTTGAAAATGAATTTTAAAGAATCTATTAGTAAAAATGGCATGTACAAGAATGAAGAATGTCCACATTAATCCCTATTTATCTTAAAGAGACTAATTTGGTCCGTACACATTCTACTCGTTTCCAAAACCTCACATCTTCATTTCAGCCTTCACAATTTACAGACAAAAATTATTAAAATTGGGTTTGTCTACATGTGCATCGGGGTTGACGTACAGATCCCCTCACAAGAGGAGGGACTTTATTCGACATTGTTCCCCTCTCTTGTGAAGGGGTCAGTACAACAAATAGAAAAATACATTAAAATTTCAGCTACCCATAGACTTAGCATTGATGACAACAAACAGTTTTTTTTTTTTTCCCCAATTCAACCCTTCATTTGTGTCCTGGGAGAAATGGAGGATTGATTTTTTCGATTTTAACTGGATCTGATTCATTTTTCTCGATCAAATGCTCAAATTTTTCATACTCTAGTAGCGGCAAGGCACGATGCTTCAATACTGCATCGATCTGTCTCATTTTAAAGCCTAAACAGTTAGAAACGGGATATTTACTCGACATCTACGTCCAAGGATCTTCACAGGAAAATATCCGCCCTCACGCAGAGAAACAAATGAAGAGCCTAAACAAGATTGAAAAATAAAGAATATAGATCTTCTAAACAAAACTGCATTCCTTTCCACTGATTGATATCAGAAAATTGAAATAAAAAAAGGAACAAAACAGATAAAAATCAGGGTTTTGCAACATATAAACTCTAATATTGCGTACCAAACATGGACTTATCGTAGGCTAAGAATCCAAGATCAAGCGTCTCGAACACGAAGTACAAATATATCTTCTCTTGAGGACAAAACAAAGGGGCAGAAAACAGAAGCTCCATTTGGTCTGAACATCAACTGATTCTACCTTGCCTCCACAATACGGGCAAGATCCTGTCGCTTCTTGTCTACTTAACTCTTTTTCTTGTTCTCCGCAAATGTAAAGAAAACACATTCTTTCTTGCTTCTTGCTCTGATCAGTACGTTTTGTGTTTTCTCGTTTTCTGGTTTGGATGTGTGTCGGCCAATCTATGACTGCTTGTATATAATAGATAGATTTTGGTGATAAGAACTTTAGGTGGAGTTAATGCTGGATAAAATTAGACACTATGCTGACAAAGATTTTTTATTTTTTATTATTTTTTTATCATGTTCTCGCTACTGTCATTATAGTGGTGCCTACTGTCTAGTAGTAGACAAGATTTTGTTGTCCTTTTTTCTTCATTACTCATGTTGAGTCGTATCTAATTTTACACAACAAAACATATGCTGTTTGATTGGTTCGAATTTCATGGAAAATAGAATTTGAGTTCCACTTTTTTTCAATTGTGTGTTTGATACGTTTTAATTTTCATGGAATTTCATTTTCTTGCCTATCTTGGAAAATGGTTTTTTCTTTGTTTTTTGGTGAGAATTGATTTTCCAACCTGCTTTTTTTTTTTT